TCAGTCCTTCGATGAGAGAGTATGGTGCAGCAGATTCAGGGGTGAAAAAGTTCAGTATTATGTCTCGTTATATTCCTCTTCGTGATGATTATTTCTTGACAGCTTACTATAATGGAAGGTCTGCTCTAGATGAGCTTGTGGTTACTCATGAATTGGTGAGGCCAATGACTCTATAAGGAAAAATGGTGAAATCATATGGAAAGCGAATCGTACAGTATTGGTTTCAGTTGATCATGTTGTTGGAAAGTTTAAAGATGTTGGCCTTGGTAACTCTACAAATGGTTGGTGTTACAATCCGCGTTATGTTGATTATTACAAAGAGAGCTTAGTTTTACCTGATAAATGGACAAATAATTGTGTCGGAGATGCTTGTGAGGAGTCATTTTTAAGTGATAAAAATGAAAGGGAAATGGTTGCAGAAGAAAGAAAGGAAGAACAAAAGATCTTCATTACCTAATTAGCTATGTTGCACTTGATTTATTGACTTTGGCTATGTTTTGGCTTTTGGCAAATGTATGAGAGAGTTAATGGTGAAGTTGATAACTTGAGTCATTTGTGCATATTATTCCTGCTTTCCGTTAGCCTAGTAGATCTTGATTGAAGTTAGTGCACTAAGGGCACACTTGGTAGCTGGATGAGAAACAAATTATCCATGTACTAATTTATGTTTTGGTTGATAATTTAGAAATCTGCATAACTAATACATGTATAAGTTATGAGAGAATCTATGTATTATTTTATGCAGGATAAAACATGAAAATCTTGCATAAAATTATACATAAATTCACTCATAACCAATCTCTATATTAAAGATACATGTATAACTCTAATCAACTACCAAACGACTCCTAAAGTTTTATGGAACTTTAAAGGTTTCAACGTATTCCCACATATTTTATTTGTCACAAATTAACAGGACAGTCACATGTAAAAAGTAAATTTTTGGAGGGGTTAAATTTAATTTGAACTTCTCTAGGGGCTATTCTAGTAGAAAACAAAAGTTAAAGGATGACAAGTGCTATTTCCCTTTTAAGGAAGCCCTTGTTAGATAAAACTCCACTCACTGTAGCTACTGCCGTAAAATCGTCATCGAGAAAGCACATTCACACACAACCAGAGAAGCAAAAAGGGAGAGAATAGAGCAAACTCTCTGTCTTCAGTACAAAAAATCTTTGATTTCAATTTGAGAGAGATCGGAAATGGCTTCTTCCAAAGAACGTGAGAACTTCGTCTACGTCGCTAAGCTCGCTGAGCAAGCCGAACGCTACGATGGTTAGGGTTTCTACTTTTTACTGTGTGTAGATCTGTTATTGTTTCTGTTTCTTTTGAGTATATGCTTTAATTTGATGTATCTCTCATGTGATTACTCAGAAAAGGTTCGGAAATGGAACTGTTAGTTATGTTTTTGTTGCTCAGAACGTAAAATTTTACTGGAATGCTGCGCTTGTTGCTTTCGATGTTTTAAAGTTTTATATATATTAGTAAATGGACTTAGGTCAGCATGGATTAACTTTTGTTGATCCGTTTTGGTTAAATGCAGTTAGACTCTAGTCATTTTATGTAGGTTGTAGGACTTTAGTACAGAGATGGTTGATCCGATTGAAGGACGAATTACTCATAAGTTGATTATATTGAGATGCAACAATTGGTGCTTTTGAAGTTTCATATATCAGCAAACGGACTTAGGTCAGCAGTTGAGCACACAAACTTTGTTGATCCACTTTGGTTAAATGCAATAGAAATGCAATTAGGCTCTGATCGTTTCATGTAGGTTGTAGGACTTCAGTTCCTTTAAGGATTCGTACGGAGAGAGTTGATGCGCTTGAAGAATGTTGAACTACTCATAAATGGATTACCGGTTACTTGGAATTTGAGTTTTCGTTGATATGATACAGTTGGTGCTTTTGATGTATTAAGGATTTTTTAAAAATGTATTCAGAATTAATATGTTAGCAAATATTTTTTTCTGCTTGGAAGTTCTACACAGATTTACCTTCTTTTGATCTGTTTGGTTAAATGCATGGAAAATGCAACTAGATTTCATATTTTATGTAATTGGTTGAGATTTTAAGGAATTGTGAATTGTGGTACAGAAATGGTTGAAGCAATGAAGAATGTCGCAAACATGGATGTTGAATTGACTGTGGAGGAAAGGAATCTTCTTTCTGTTGGTTATAAGAATGTGGTAGGTTCTAGGAGAGCATCTTGGAGGATCTTGTCCTCTATTGAGCAGAAGGAAGAATCTAGAGGGAATGAGCAAAATGTCAAGCGAATCAAGGAGTACCTGCAAAAGGTGGAGTCGGAGCTCACCAACATTTGCAATGATATTATGGTGGTCATTGATCAGCATCTAATTCCGTCGTGCACTGCAGGCGAATCAACTGTGTTTTACCACAAAATGTGAGGTTCTGATTTCTGTTGTTGTCGGTCTGAGTTCTAAATATATGTTGTTTTGGGAAGTTCAGAAAACTGGAGTTGTTAAAGCTGATCTGTCTCTGCCTGCAGGAAGGGGGACTATTATCGTTATCTTTGCAGAATTTAAAGCTGGTAATGACAAGAAGGAGGTTTGCTGAGCTTTCGTTGAAAGCATATCAGGTATATGGTTTGCTTGCGACTTGGCTTCTCAAAAATAGAGTGACTCACATGTCAGTTCCCATGCTCCCCCTTATTCTTGATAGTGGAAAATGTCCCAGATGCTATCATTAATCCCTTGAATCTTTCTTTTTTTGGTTAGAATCAGTGTTTCTAACTGTAATTTTAATTTAAACTTTTTCTATAGTCTCTAATCTGAAATAAACAAATATTCGCTGTTTCTGAGAATAGTGCTTTCTTTACTTGTTTTTAATATATATACTCTTCCAAAGCAGTTCTCAAGTACACAAGTAAAAGGTTGAGCATAAAAGTAGGTTGATTGTCAGTGAATGGTTGATTCATAATCTAATGACCTGCAAAGTGAGAGGAGTTTGCTTGTTCAAAAGCTTGTTTTAGAATGAAACTATTACTTTTTCTTAAATCCCACACTTCATTTGCATTTTGTGCTTAAAACCCCACCAGAACTTAGAGCTCACTTTTCCTTTTGTTAGCATTTGCTTGGGTATTATCACAGTCCTCTTTGACCAGGATAGTCTGTGTCCCATTATTTAAAAACTTTTTTGGGTGGCGGTAGGCCTGTGAATAGTGGAAGGAAGGTAGAAGAGGGAGTGTCTTTTTTATGGATTAGAACCTGCATCTAAGAGAAGTGGGTCAGAGTAGCTACCAGTAGGCTGCAACCCAATTCTTGTATTGTATAATAAAATACAATTCTTTCCTTTTTTCTTTTCTCCAATTCTGTTTGCTGCATTTAGATGTTGAATTCCCTATTAGGTTTGGCGATATATGTGTGTCTGTCTGCTTCACTTATTGTTTGTTGCTAAAACTTGTGCAGTCAGCTACAACTGCTGCGGAGCGGAATTACCACCCACTCATCCAATTCGTTTGGGGACTGGCTTTGAATTTCTCTGTTTTCTACTATGAGATCATGAATTCACCTGAAAGGTTTGTCTTTTGTATATTCATCTTCTTGAAGCTGTCCATACCTTTTTTTTAATCGGTGTGTCCATACTTGTTTCTAGGCTCAGCTGTTATATCTGTTTTCTCCAGGGCATGCCATCTGGCAAAACAGGCCTTCGATGAAGCAATATCTGAGCTGGATAGCCTGAATGAGGATTCCTACAAAGACAGCACCTTGATTATGCAGCTTCTAAGGGACAACCTCACCTTGTGGACTTCTGATCTTCCAGAGGATGCTGGTATGCTTTGACTCATATCCTATGACACCTTGGCGTTTGTATAATCTAGAGTTTTCCTGGTGTTCATAATTTTCCCTGGTTGACGGCACTTTATTTATCTACTTATTCGTTTCTTATAATTATCTCTGTTTAGCTTGAAATTACTATTCTCAGGCTTGGTTGAGATCTTTGCATGTCTTTTCTGCTAGTAGTTGCTATAGTTTCTTTAGTGGTTTTGATAGCTTAATCACATGTGAGATGTCTACAGAAAAAACTAATTTGGTTCTGCAACCTTTTAGATAGCATTAAGAGAACTGCCCCAAGGGCTTTGGTCTAAAGGTAAGAGCATAGCGTGTGATATGCGAGTTGGGAAGTTGTCGTGGGTCAAACCCTGACACATATAGAAGCCTTGTATTTAAGTGGAGTAATAGAAGGAAGGGCCCATTATCAACTGAGTTTTGAAATGTGCGCCATTGCCTTCCCGAGATTTCTTGGTTTTCAGAAAGGAAAAATTAAGAAGATGATATTGTAATACTAAGTGCTAACTCACTATTTTCACAAAATAAGTCCAGGGTGATAAAGAAGAAGTGTGGCATTGCTTATTCCTTGAAGGAGAAAAAAAAGAGTCAGGCAAGGAAGTATTAGTTCTTGAAGGGTTTTTCTTATGTCATGGGTTTCTTTTCTTGACATAGGATTAACCATGCAGTTTTATTGGTGTTACCTTCAGCTAAATCTTGGGTATCTGCTTGTATTTTGACAGTGTACTTGTACAATTTTTTCAGTTAGTTTACATGTGCCCTTCAATCAAAATGCTATTCCCCAGTGAGTAATTATTTCGTTTAGAAATATATGATAAATGCAGCGCAAGATAGTTTGACAAGGCATAAAAACGTGATATTAATAGCCAGTATTGGGGGTTGAGCTAGATGAATATATTGCCTAATTTACTGAATCTGAGGGGAAAGCTTACTAATTTTGCGTGTTAAAATTTTGTTGCCCTTTCACAGAAGATGCCCAAAAGGGAGATGCCACAAACAAAGCTGGTGGAGGTGAAGATGCAGAGGTAGATTCTTTATATCCAGTCTCCTTCCTTTTGAGTCGATTTTAGATTTTTCTAGACTGGTAGTAATTTCAATTACGTAGTCATTCCAAATCATAATATTCTTTTTTGTGTTCTTGCAGTGAGTGGGCCTAATGGTTAGAACTACTATGTGTATTTGGAGGTGTGAGGGACAAGGATTACGCCAAGGGGGGTGTTTGTTTGTTGAGTCTTAGTAGATACTTCTATTATGGGTCTGTCGTGTCAGATTCTTCACATGTTAATTGGTTGTCTGCAACTCAGTGTGTATTTGTATCCCTGTGCTATTTCCTCTCTCCGTATAGTGAGTTGTTTCAGTCTTTAGATAATTGCTGGTCTATAGGTGGTTTTATTTTTCAGATGACTGCCGCAGCCAAATGGAGGATATCAGCTATTTGCTTGTCCTCTCACCCTTATTATCTCAATGTCACTTAATTTCCATTATTCTCTCCTTTTTCATTTAGTTTGAAGCTGAGCATATTTGCTACTCTATGTTGGTGCATATTATTGGTATCTTTTACCCCAATAGTATTTATTCTCTCTGCATGAGTAGTCTTTTACCCCAAAATAAAGGATATGAAGAATTAGAATTAGTGCCAGTTATTCTTGCTTATTGAGCCAAAGCAATGACAAAAATGCCTTGACAAATTTAGTGGGGGTAGATTGTTGATAACTAATGACTTTTCCCAAGGAGTTGTGCTGTTTGGTTTTTCTTGGGGGAAGATTGTTGCACGTTTCTTTTTTCTCTACATCTTGATGGAGGTTGATTGGTTATATTTGACTTTCTTATCTCCTTGCATGTGGCCAAAAGTAGTTGATTCAAGAAGGATAAGTTATTTTGTCTGAACTCTGCTTACTTAAATAGAGTGGACGTTTACGTATTCATGTTGAGTATCTTTTCTATCATCTGTTTCTTGGAACTGCCATCAGGTGTTGTTTATATTTGACCAAATAGCATGGTTTACAGCTGCCCATGCTTGGAAAAAAAAAGGGAAGTTTGCCTGTGCTAGCTTATATTTAGGGCCCGTTTGGCCATAGATTTCCCAAGTAAAACTTGGGAAAAAATTTGGCAAATATTGTTAGTCCATACACTTTCTCATTATTTGGCAAATTTTTTTTGGCAAATAACCCAAATTCCCAAATACTAGTTTTTTCTAGTATTTGGGCCAAATCTCATTATTTGGAAAGTTTTAAAAATTCAAATTTAACACCAAACTTTTATCTTTTACAAAAACACTTTATAGTTTTTTCTAGTATTTGTACTAGTCTTTTTTAACGATGCGACTATTTACTGTAATGATGCTTTTTGATTTGTTGCGGAAGTCATGAATCTTGTTACGTGACATTTCTATTTTGCTATGTAATACAAATTTATGGTTAGTTTTGATAGTTTTTAAAAACTTATGGGCATAAGTCATATTTCTTAAAAAATTGAAATATATTTCCCAAATACTATGGCCAAACACATGGTGAAATTTCACCCAAATCTTCACCCAAATAATATTTGCCATATATATTTGGAATCTATGGCCAAACGCTAGCTTAAAATCCACTTCTAATTGTGCCTCCCCTTAGTCTGCCGTCTTATACTTTTCAAATAAAATATTCACTAGTATACAGACTTGTCATTGTCAATCTATTATAACTTGATGACATGCATATGCATCCAGCTCTCGCCACTGTTGGCACAGTGCAAATTTTAAAATTGTCCCTTGGCATTTGATAAGCAACAATTTGTCATCTCGGAGAAATTTCACTCTTCAAAATAAATTTCTTTATAACCACTTGTTTCATTTTGAACATCTTTAATAACTTGAAAAGGAAACTCATATCCGTATAGCTATCGTTACAAGTGTTTTAATCAAATTAACTTCTTAAAAAATTCCTAGTATTTTACTCCACCAATAATAATGTTACAGAGCATCAAGACGAATATGGCATTTCAAGGTGTCGCCAGTTAGAATGACAATATTAAAAAGTTACTCCCTCCGTTTCAATAAGAATGACCTCTTTTCCTTTTTGGTAACATTTTTATTTTAGCTTTTCACGTGGCATGTTTAAAACCACAAGATTGAAGGGCAATTTAGTACATTTGACATAACTTTAATTTAGGACCACAAGATTCAAAAATCTTCTTTATTTTCTAAAATTTTGTGACAAGTCAAACCAGGTCACTTTTTTGTGAAACGTAGGGAGTATGTTATAAATTGACCAAGTAGATATTATCCTATTTTTGACTTTTTTTTTAAAAAAAAAAAAAAGCCTAAAAGTGGGTGATTAAAACTATCTTATAACCTTTAAATAAAAAAGTGTTTAAAAGTTGAAAGCATCTAAAAATAAGTTAATTTAAATATGTTACTTAGGTCTCAGTGAACAAAATTATTTTTTGGAATTTTCAAAAAAAATTGTACTCCTTTTGACTCCGGACTTGAGATTCTATCTCCTAAACACAAAATGATAATTGGCTTAGGGATTGAGGTGGTTCAAAATTTCAGATAGTACAACATTTTGTTTTTCCAAACCCTCATATTGAAAATCCAAATTCAGAATAGTGGACAAATTAAATAATGCAAGTGCCCGTTGATTGGAACATCACTCAAAAAGAAAGAAGAGGATATTGGAATTTAGGATTATACGTAGTGGAACAATAATATTTGGAATACCGAATAATTACTTTTGGAAGGCGGGAAAAAGACTCTCCACACTGTGTAAGCACCTTTGCCCAATTGCAAATTGGAATTTGATCCTTTCGTTAAAATATTTCTTTAAAATCCTTCATGTTCTATGTGTTTTTCTGCTCATTCGTCAGATTTCACAGGAAAGCCTAAAACTTCTCTGACACACAACAATGGGGGATCCAGAAGAACATGGAAATACTCAAATTTCAACTGTCATTTTGATTTGGATGGTACCCTTTTGAGCACAGGTCCTCTTTTTCCACTCCCTTTGTCTTTTTTTTAGTTTTATTTTTTTCTGGGTTTGTAGCATTTCTGTGTTTTTTTTACTATGAGTTCAACTGAATGGTGTTTTTGACTCTGACAATGTAGGGATATAGTCCCTGTTTTTTTTTAAAAACCATGGTTTCTGAGTCAGCTTGCGCTTAGGACTTATACCTAGGCAGTTCACCAGGTGGGTCAATATCTGATGTCAATGACCTTGACTAATTACCGTGATACTTGTCAGTTGTCACCTCCTACCAGCAACATATGCACCTCACTATGAGCACACTGATACTAAATCTTTGATGTGTATGTTTTAGAGCACTTGACAAAGGAAATTCTGAAGGAGTTTCTGGCTGGATATGGGAAGTGCCAGATAAGGAGAAGGAAAAGAAAAGATTGGGCATGGCCCAGAAAGAGTTCGCTATTGGCATTGTCAGTGATTACGACCTCCCTATCACGCCCGACCTAGTAGTCATGCCCTTTTATCATGACTTGTAAGTGTTTTTTGAACCATGTCTCTCAATATGTTAGCTGTTTCTTTTTATTTTGGATATATTCTTATATGGATATTCACTTGTAAACTACTATAAAGCATAATTGGTTGACACTTGACAGTGGCAGACCTAGCGCATTAGTTATGAATCATGTGAACTTAGTGGCTTTTGCTCAAACCCGGTATATGTATCAATCCACTAAATATTTGAATGTGAACCCAATTATCATTGTATATTAACTTGAGATCACTATAGCCTATAGGAATCCATAAACTTCAAATCTTTGATTTGTCTCTGCGTCCATGGTTCAAACCCAATATATGTGTTAAAAATCCACTAAAATAATATAAAACATAGACTCCGAACACAATAAATTAATAGGTTAAGGTAGAGTTCAGAACTCAAAGCCATTAAGTTCAAATCCTGGATCCGCCTATGTTGTTTGATGTCATCTTCTTACAAAATCATCATATTTGTGCATTTCATTTTACTTCATAATGGATAAGCAACATGGTTATTGATCCTTACATTTCCTATTGCTCTTACATGTTTGATAGAAGTCTTCTCCGTCTTGCTTCAAGAGCCACATGCATCTTCCCGTTTTCCTACACTGTGTTATAAAGTTGTATCCTTAATGTCTTCGAGCTGGAATGTTCTGCGATAAGTCTCCGATTCTAGTTGATGACATGATGAGAATGAAATACTTGTTGTCATGACATATTTAATAATTTGCCTAGCCTCACAATATTAATGTTCTGCTCTGTACAACTAACAGAATCTAGTAAAACACTATGCACTAGTCGCCTCCATTTGTCAATAGTTTTGCACATCATCGTACATTGTGTTGAGGGTGTGATAGATTAGCTAGTATCAGTTTCCCTGCACTGATTTAAGATATTCAATGATTAAGCAATGTGCAACAGAGTGGTCACGTATAATTTTTTTCCTGTTTCGTTGCAGGTGGTTGCAAGCGAAAGCACTTCCTGGTGCTAATCGCCTTATAAGACATCTCCATAAGCATGGAGTTCCCTTTGCCCTTGCTTCAAATTCCAAAAGGAAAAACATAGATGGGAAAGTCTCTCTCCAAGAAGGTTGTGCTATAACTCATTAAGAAATTAATGTAAAACTTAGTTTATCTTCATTATCTTTTTATTTTCTTGTTTCATCAATTAGTGTTGTTATTTTCGAAGTAAATAGTCCATAAGACAGTTCCTTAGGACAGAGAAAATTCTTTTTGTTAAAACCTGCAAAGTATTTTTATTAAATCATCTTGTTGTTAAAAAAAATGTTTCCTTCTCTTTCTAAATGAGATCACCTTTATGAACTTCCAATCATGGTCAGCACATCAACTTTCTTTCAGTTATTTCCTTGTGAAGGTGTATATTTTAAGCTAACATAATCGTTTTTCTTCATTGAACTAGGTTGGAAAGAATGTTTTTCCGTAATTCTTGGAAGTGATCAGGTTAAATCAGGGAAGCCTTCTCCAGACATGTAAGTTAATTAAGCTTTCTACTGTGGGTGATTCCTGATAGTTCTGGTTACTGCTATGCATAAGATATGACATACTCCTTTATCCTCTATTCTCTCGAAGTTGTGTTATCACATTTTTCTTGAAGAAAATCTGAGAATATTTCATTGATAGCGGGAGAACCAAGAAGGTGCTTAATTACGATAGCATGTACAAACTGCTCATGATACTATTCTTTCAGAAGCTCATAAAGTTACCAAAATCTATCATT